AAGCATAGTCCCTAAGTGTAGACTACGTATTCCCCGAAAACATAGGATCTGTGCATCTAGAGTTGTTGAGTATGTTCCGCAGCATGACGAGAAGGTCAAACCTATTCGGTTTGTTCCTCCCGAACGACTCCAACCACTCGGTGCTATCGACACGACTCCCGCGGAGACGACGCCAGATCCTGTTTCGGACGAAGAATACACACCATCCGTCGCAGCAGACGACGTGAGCGAGCCAGTCGAGTCTGTCGAGGATGCTTCTCCGAGGTCCAGTGCCATAGGGTCAGAGACCGCTGAGGCATTCGCGGGGGGCATTCCGCCTCATCCGGATGACGACAAAACACTAATAGAGCTTGCTTATGATGGTGATGAAGCAAGAATAGCGGATGACCCTACCATGCTCAAGAAAGCTGCGTTCGAGGAACCCCAAGAACCCCTTTTGTCCAGTTTGTCAGATCTCAAAGTCAACTTCTAAGAGAGTCTCACGCAAACCTGATGTCAAAGATGACGACTTCATAGACCCACCTAAAGGTCCATATGAGCAGTTGTCAACCGACGACGTCATAATGGCAAAAGGAGAGGACTTCGCCGGCAAAGGTGTAGGCGGGGTTAAAGCATTCCATGTAGTCCGAGACACGTACTCAGGAGCTAGAATTGCGTACCCCATGAGCAAGCGTGATGCCAGTACCCACTCCAAGAACTTTCGTCACTTCCTAGGCCTGAAGGCTAACGAGGTAGCTACACGCGTCCTTGTTAAGATGGACGAAGCCGGAGAGTTGGAACAGGCTGCACATGAAGTAGGGTTAATTCCGGAAACGTCCTAGCCAAACAGATGGCCCCATAATGCCATGATGGAAAGAGACATCCGTGAAGAAAAGGAGTGTTGCAGGGCAATCCACCTCCAATCCGGGTTGCCGTATTCCTTTCACACCCACTCATATCCCTTTGCATGTCTTTCCACGAGTTTTGACAGACCGTCAGCTTTGGAACCAACAAAGACACAATGGGAGGCGCTTACTCGCAAGCCATGAGACATTCATTTGGTCAGCTGATGTATTACCGCGACAAGCGGGTATCTAAACGCACCCTAGAGCCTAACATGTCCCCATGTCTGTTCTTAGGTTGGCGAATAGATGCTGGTTTTCGGTATCGCTATGTTGTTCGTGTTCTTGATTACATGGATTACAAAGTTGGCGAACACGTCAATGTCCAAGAAGTCACCGAAGCTGAGATTTATGTTGAAGATGGTCCTCCATGTTTCCCAATGGCCTTGAAGGGGGGTTCCTTAGGAGTCCTCGACGATCTTGCACGTCTTGACATGCCGGATATCCCCATGAAGGAAATCCCTTTTGGGTTGGAAGGAGCCGATGCCGTCCCACCAACTCCCATGGACCCTAAAACCAGGGGGGTGTATATCACTTTGGATCGCATCATTCGGTTTAGCGAAACCCCAGGGTGCAAAGCGTGTGAGAAGAAAACACGATATCACACGCCCGCATGTAGGAAACGTTTTGCCAAACTGGTTGATGAAGAGAGGCGTGACCTTCTTACCAAAGGAAGGAAGGCATCACCGTGGAGGAACTTCCACCGCGGGAGCCCGAGACCGCACCTCCGACTGATTCGTCTGAAGATGCCACTGAGGATGAGTCACACATCATTGATGCTACTCCAACTGTGATAGCAGGGCTGTCGCTTTCGCCACATACCACATATAGGACACAACTCATCCACACTCGCCCTGAGAGTGGAGTCCCGGTGTTTGGCATGCCATCCTCAACCCAACCAGCTCAAGCTTCTAAGTCTAAGTCCAAGAAGAAGAAAAAGAAGAAACCGCGCAAGGCGCGGCCGACCCGATGCATGTTCGAATTTGCGTGCGCATCAGACTCGCAAACGCACGAGACCTTTTTGGAGATGGGTATTCCCCATATTGCGTTGTCTAAGGAACACCTCGACCTTGACGATTCACAGATGCAGGCACAACTGCACCATCACATAAGCAATTGTGCTGAGACCCCCGATCTCTGGGCTTCAATCCCCTGCACTTCGGGCTCTCCATGGCAAAGAGTGAACCGCCTAAAAGGGGGGGCTCAGTTCATTAAGAGACATGCGCTCCAAGTAAAGGAATCCAAGCGCCTGTTTGCTGAGTTCGCCACAAATGCAGAACTTGTTCTCGCACGCAATGGAACCGTCACGTTCGAGTGGCCAAAAGGGTGTGAAAGTTGGCAGCGCGCAGATGTTAAGCAGTTCTTCGATAACCACCCCGAATTCATGCCAGTAGAGTTTGATGGGTGCGCTGTTGGTGTTCAGTCCACCAAAGGTCGTCCAATAAAGAAAAGATGGCGACTGATGACCACCAGCAAGGCAATCGTTGAGTTGTTTTCGAGCTTCCAATGCCCACATAAACCCCATGAGCATGACCACGCAGTCGGGTCCCAGACTGCTCGAACAGCATTTTATCCAAGGCAGATGACCGTCGAAATAGCAAGGGCATTATACCCAAACATGTTCCACAACCCTATTGCCCCCGCCATGCCATGTTTTCCATGTCAACATGACCTTGAACATCGGTACAAGGAGCAGGCGTTGAAACATGTTTCCGCCCTTTCTGGCATCGACGCTATGGCCATCGCTGTCGAAACTGACGAGACAGTTGAACAGATGGTCGAGTGCCTGATGGATATCAATGCGTTGATGCACGAGGCATATCAGATACCGCACACCGAGCAAGGTGAGCGGGAAGTTGCCGCAATGGTCACAAAGCTCCTTAGCAGGTCAGAGATGCTAAATGATCCGGAAGCCTTGCAAAAGGTGAAGGACGAAGCGGCCGGCATCGTCAAGGAAGGCACGTGGGAATACAAGTCTGTCCGCGAGAAAGAAGATGTCCGTGCCGAGGCTAAGGCCACTGGTATCTCAGTCCACTTCGGTAAGCTAATGACAATTGCATCAATAAAATTCTTCGAGCTAGCTAAAGAGTTGCAAAAGAAGAAGGGCCGCATCGTGTACCGCGGTGACTGCGCAAAAGACGAACACGGCGCAGCTGCGGTGTACCAAGAGCTAGGAGCCAATCCCACCTCCGTCCAGGGCCTCAACGCATGCCTTGCATACGGAAGCCTTCCAGGCAAGCTGTGCACTGCGGCCGACGCAGTTAAAGCATTATACGTCCAAGCAACGCTCAAATCCAAATACAAAACATGGATTGAGCTGCCACCCGAGCTCCGACCGGCCTGGTGGAAGAACAAATTCGTTCAGCCGGTAGTCCTTTTGGTCAAAGCCCTATATGGTCACCCCGACGCGGGGGGGATGTGGGAACAACACCTTAAGGAGATCCTGTATAAAATGGGAGGGGAAGAAATCCCAGAATTTCCTGGTAACTTCTGGTTCCCCAACTCACGGCTCATGCTTTCTACGTATGTAGATGACCTTACTTTGTCCGGTCCCCGCGACCAACATGATAAGTTTTGGTCTGAAATATGTCGAGCCACCTGAGCCCATTTACCGGATTTTAGGTCGCAACCATGTTTACTCCACAGTGCCGGACTCGGGATACACCGAGACCGCTGCTTTGCGCGGCAGTGCTGACGCTCTAGTCTTCGACATGCAAGACTACGCGCAGCAAACCATCGATCTTTACAAATCGGTGGCTGGTGTTGACAAAATAAAATCGGCCCAAACGCCCTTCCTCGTTGATGGTACGTTCACTCAAGCTGATGAAGAGTCTCCCGGAGAACTTGCTCCGAAGGCGTGCTCTATCCTAATGAAAGCCCTGTGGCTTGCTGGGTTGGCACGACCCGACATCCTTAAACCAATTAACGACCTTGCCACCAAAGTACAAAAATGGACCCGCGTACATGATAAAAAGTTACTGCGGTTAACCCAGTACATCCAACACTCACTAGATTATAGATTAACCGCGGTATGCGGGGATGATCCCAGTGAGCTGTGGCTTGAGTTATTTGTGGATGCCGCCTTCGGCGGCGACCAGCATGACGTTAAATCCACTTCCGGTGGATACCTGGTGCTTAAAGGTCCTAACACCCACTTTCCACTAGCATGGGTGTCCAAACGCCAGACATCAACGTCAAGGTCTACTACAGAATCGGAAGTGGTAAGTCTAGCCTACTCGTTGTACCAGGAAGGCCTCCCTTCACTGCAATTGTGGGACAAACTTCTTGGGCGAGCCGTTAACCTCGTAATACAAGAAGATAACCAAGCCACGATTCTAGTAGTAAAGAAGGGATTCTCACCTAAATTAAGGCACATCAGCCGAACGCACAAGATCAATTTAAGTTCGTTAAAAGAATGCATCGACGACCCATCTGTCGAGATTAAGTACATCGATACGAATGAACAAGCAGCCGACATTTTCACCAAAGCGCTACCACCCCAGAAATGGTTCAAAGCGCTATGCTTGCTTGGCATCCGTACGGACTTGAAGTGCTTAGTCCCATCTAAGACAGATAGGAGCCTTCCAAGCAGTTCGAAGCCTTCGTAGGTCGTCGTAACCGCTGCCGTCCGGCGCGGTAATTCGTGCATGTACATAAGAGTGCTGCCCCATAACGGGGAGGGGGGAGTCATTTTTGCAGACCCCTAACACGTAACAGCATTCTACCTTGTACATTCATGTCATTACGTCGCGTTTCACTAAAGCACACACAAACGTGTTTGCCGACCCGCGACAACTTGGCTCAAGAAAACACTGCCCCTTGCGGTCGTTTTCTTCAGGGTGCCGTACGGGACGACCTGTGGTCGTTCGTACATTCGCTTTCGCTTTGCACCGTTCGTTGCTCTCGCATTTCCGTTCGTTCGTTCGCCGTCGTGCCTTCGTCCGTCCGGCAACTCGCACTTGCGCCACGGGAACTCGACCCTCCAACCGTCGGGTGCTCGTTCCGGTCGATCGTGCCGCTAGGGATCTGGCATACCACTTCTACTTCCTTCCGGTAGATAGAATAAGTTGGGCCATCCCTTATCTTCCCAATAATTTGTGGGTTCAATTTAAAAACAAACTAAACCCATCCAGTTTGCCATTCCTGTTTTTCTGCCTGCTCGATTGCTGTCTCTTCAGTTTCAACAACATCTGACATCGACAGCGACTTTACATCTGGCAACATCGTGAGGCCAAACTCCAAAGGGAAGGATTTGAGGGCGCTGCAGAACTGGCCATCTAGGGCATCCCCGAACAACATAGCATCTGACACCATCTGATAGGTTGCGTCGTCCAAGTCAGCAAGCGCGCACTCCTTCACAGTCTTGTTCCAGTGCTGGATCACAAAGCGATAGTTCCAGAGGTTGTCCAAGGACGTCTTCGGGATGCTGCCTGGGTTCCTCTCAGCATCACCCTCAAAGATAGAAATTGCTTTGGCAACAAGCGCGTCATGATCTGCAGGGCTGAGCTCAAGTCCAAATTGGAGCGGCACTGACCTGAGATTGCAATAACCATAATTCATAAATGCAAAAAACAGAAGTCATGACAAGCAACAACCAATCAAAGCTGCATCTGGACAAGCAAAGTCAAGCTGCGTCACACGATCTGGAAGAAGGCGCCTGGTCACCCCTGCAGCTGTGCGACGGGCAATCTCCTCGGCCTCTGATGGGGACTGCCCCTCAGGGGGAGATGACATTGGCCACAGATGTTTCCAGGCCAATACTTCTGGCGTCACTGCTGATCGCTTCTCCCCTCCGCGGACAAAATTGGAAAGGTGACGGCTCATCATGCGGTAGGACTCAGGCGTTGACCACCACAAAATATTTTTGACGGCCTGTTGCTTCTGTGTGCCAATCTTGATCTCAGCTTCCTCAGGGCCAACGTCAACCGGAGCCTGAGCACTGCCACTTGAAACCTTGCGTCTTCCCTTCCTTTGTTTTTTCTTTGCAGGAGCATCAGCGCACACACCTTCAGCATCAACTTGCTTGTGAAACCCTGCCAGGATCTCATCCAACTTCTGACAAAGGCTTCTTCCTGTCTGACGTCTGACATTTGGATCATCCCAACTGAAGATCTCAGCATAGTCTTGACCGACTGCGTCCTGAGAGAGGAATGGGGACCACTGACATCCCAAAAAAGAGTGTACTGAAACAAAACCACAAACTCTGGAAATCCAAAACAATTTGATTCACTTGATGTCAAGACTCGTGGACACGGAATTTCTCCATCAATGCAAGATGTGCCCATTGCAAGCAACTGAGTGGTTGAATGTAAGAACCCTTCACATTTTGCTTCACCGCTTGAGTGATCACATCCATGTCAGATTCATACAGTGTTGGCACACCAACCATGGGGCTGAACACCTGCAGCGCTTCAGGATCTGCCTTGAGATCGCCTTCCTCAATCGCCTTTCTCATCAGAACCCACCTAGAAAGCAGCTGGCTGAAGCAGAAAGCAAACTACTTGAAACTTGAAACTGGACACACCAAGCAACAACGCACACCAATATACTGAACACACAGTTGCTTTGAAGTCGAGTGACACTAGCTTGATTGCTAGACCCCTCTTCATCCCATCACCAAAACGGATTGCACCAAATCCCCAATGGCAATCACGTGTGCAAATGGACTCCTCAGCTTTGTAGCCAACTGTCAGCAAGCTATTGGCAATCCCAATCAGGTTTCGAGCTTCTGCGCTGATCCCAGACCTAACATCAAGTGGCAAAGAATGTGAAGATGCCAGTTGAAGGTGTCAGTTCAAGACACTCTAGAAACGCAACACATCAGTTCACAAAAGCAAAATCATTCAAATGCAAGAATTTAACCAGTCTAACATTCCGCTGAAGATCCAAAGGGCGCCAGAGTCCCATCGGAATTGGTGCACAACACTCAATCCCACATTTTTGTTCTTGACTGACTCCTCAATAGCATTAAGCTTCATTGTAGTCCACAAGTTTGCAGTGGCGGGGTCCTGATTGCTGCAGAACAAATCCAAGTTCAATGAACAAAGTTTGGGAATCAAGAAAAGAGCACATGAGAAAAGGCTGGCTGAAAGCAGACTAAGAATCTGTTCCAGAGAGGGTCGCATACATGTTAGAAATTTCAGAGTACACCTCTGGCATTTCCACTGGCAACTGAAGAGCAGCGATCATCGGCGTCAAACACTGCTTGTTCTCAGTAGCTGCCTTCAGGCAAAGCGTATCAGTTCTGGAGACTAATTTAATTGAAGTTTACTGGCAGAAGTTCAAAGTTTGCAATGTGGCAAAACCAGTCCTCATGCAAAGCTTGAATGTGAGCTTTGATCTTTCGTCGCCATTCTGGCTCACTACTACCGCCTGCATCTGTCACTTCCTTCAGAGGATCCATCCAACAACTGGTGTAGGACAAAATGCAAAATCCCACTTCTGTCAACTATCTGTGAGCCACAGCAATAGCAAGGAAAGAGGCTTAAGGACACAATGCAACGGCTGGAAGGCAAAAGCTGAGCTCAGGACAGCCTGGTCAGGGCAACCTGCAATTTACATTGGATTTGAACCCAGTTTGATATGGTGCAATACAGTGATAAGTTGTCATGTGATTATCGGCTTTCTGAAACCACAGGACACAGCTTGCAGCATCTTGCAATTTTGTTTTCTCAGATGATCGAACAAAATCTCCATCAGCGTTGGCGGCGTTTCTTTGTTTGAGGACAACTGGCATGGCTCTCATCCTGATCGCTTTCAGTGCAAGTAGTCAATGGTACCACCTCAGTCTCCAAGAAGTTCTCTGGCCAGTTGTCCTTGATCCTGCATATTGAAAG